TCTATGGGTTTTTAAGAGTCTGACAAACAATATCATGTTATCTTCACTTTCTGCAGATAAAACTTGGGCTTGGAAAGATTTAATGGCCCTGCAAAACGGCAGAGCCAGTTCTCCAGTTATAACCTATGCCTCCCAAATCTCACACACTTTGGAACAATCAACCAGTTTGGGAACCTCTTCCAAATCAGACGTTTGAGAAGGCACAAGGGCTGCCTGGATCAGCATGATACATGATGTGAGAATAAACTCTTGATTCAACTGAGTGCTATGTTCTCATTTTATTAACATACACATGAAATTTCAAATCAAGTGCCAGAATGAGAAAAATTAGAACTTTCTTATGACTCAGCATTTAAGTTTGTTATCAGAAGCAAGTTACAAGCAATTTACTCTTACGAGGCCTCAGGTTGTGGCTTAGTTCTTAAGAAGAGGCGATTACAAGTAAATAATGGGCCTTTATCTACAAGTGTCAAAGTCCTACAAAGCTGGAATAAAAACTACAGGGGATTTCAGAAATGTGCAAGAGAGGTGTCGGTCACTGGAGTTCGGCTGTCCCTTGGAGAGCAGTGGCCAGGGACACAAAGACAGAGGAGGTATGAGAGGGCAGCAGGAGTTGCAATCACTTCAGAGAAACAGAGCCTACCAAATTAAAAACGAAAAGTAAACAGAACCTCACAAATATAACAGCATTACTGTGCACTGACATCCAAATGAACTCACAGTCACTAACCTGAAACCATGCCCAAATCACTTAGCCTGCAAAGTAATTTCACAACTTTCCTCACTCTCCCCAACCTCTAATGAGGTTCTATCTATATGGATGTTAAATGATCACACAAAACTATAACATTTCTAACTTGTAAGGACAAAACTAAACAAGGCTGAAGGACTAGTGAAAACACATGTCAAAAAGTATCTTGGATATACAAAGATTTTGTATAAATCAATAAGAAAACAAATACTCTATTAGTAAAATGGACAAAAATCATAAACAGGAAAAAAATACAAATGACCAGTATACAGAAAAAAAATTCACTCACTGAAAATCTAAAAAACGCAAATAAAAATAACAATTAGATGTGCTTTTTCATCTGTTTGACTAGCAACGGTGAAAGTGAAAGAAACGAGCACTCCATGTCCTGCCAGTGATGGTGTAAACAGGCTAAGAGGGCAGTCTGGCAATATATATGAAACCAGTGCTCCCATTTCTAGGACTTTACCCTAAGAAGATAATCCCATCCTAGTTATGAACTCTGACCATTAAGAACAGAAAGTGCCAGCTGAAATATTCACAATCTCCAAAATGCCAAGACCCAGGAAGGAAGTCCTCCTGTTATAAAGGAGAGAAGGACTCAGATTAACATATGTGTACAATGTGTGAGTAAAGCAGTTCCTCAGTTATGTATTTTCTTGTTTTACAAATTTAAATTCAGTTCAAGTGCCATAATGACAAGTATAGGGCTGTTAAAAAGTAACTTAGAGCCGGGTTCGGTGGCTCAGCCTGTAATCCCGGTGGCCTTGGGAGGCCGAGGTGAGTGGATTGCCTGAGCCCACAGGTTCAAGACCTGCCTGGACAACTTGGTGAGACCTCATCTCTACAATAAATTTAAAAATTAGCCGGATGTGGTAGCACGCGCCTGTAGTTCCAGCTACTTGGAAGGCTGAAGCGGAAGGATCGCCGGTGCCAGCAGGTCGAGGCTGCAGTGGCCAGGAGCGGCCACTGCACTCCAGTTTGGGTGACAGAGTGAGACGCCAACTCAAAAAAACAAAAAAAATAACTTAGACGTCCCTATTGCTTCTTTAATGTTTTTAAGTCCTCTCCATTAAAATTTAAAATTTTTAATTTTTAAACTTTAAAATTCTTGATAAATTTGAGTCCTCTCCAGTAAAAACTTTTAAATAGTTTTTCACTATTTATGCAAGTATGTGTGTCAATTAAGATGGACCCAACATCATCTAGGATCCAACCACATAACATGAGGTCGAGCACATTTCCTTACACCCAATCACAACTTTTCTATAAAAAGAGAAGGCCGTCTCTGAAGTTCAGTGTCCTCATCCTCAAATGCAGACTGCAGATGCAGACTCTAGGGTATTGCACCTGGCTCCTAGCAAGCACTCAAAAAGAGGAGTTGTGGTATCTTCAATGTCCCTGTCGCTAGGAATGGCTGCATCTCCTTTCTGTGGGCTCTATGGGGTTTGCAGCTCCAATCACCCAGGAATCTTCCCTCATGGTTTCTATACTACAACACATCTTCTTCACTGTTAAAACTAAATGCCTACTACAGGGGAATCGTATCATGACAGGGCTAAAGTCATTACAGCATGTAAGCCCCACCCAATAAGAACAGATGGGAGGAGTTAGAAACCATTTGGAAGAATTCTTTGAGCTGCCCGGTGTTTTCAGAGACGCACATTTCTAACTCTACCACTGCAGGGCACTTCCTATTTCTCGATGCCAGGTTCTCTCCAGGGCTTCTAACAGCTCTGCTCTGGGCTCTTGGTGACACCCATCACCAGCCATCAACCTCTCAGGTTACAGATTGCACCTGCTGCCAATCAAAAATAGCCAGAACTTGATTCTGTACATTCCTCGGTTTCCATTTCTGCCCAGACACTGAACTATGTTAGACACAGCAAGTAGTATGTTATGCTAATAAAAAGTTGTGTTATATACTAAATAGTATACTGAAATAAACATCACATTCAGGAGTGCTCATTCAGAAAACTATACAAAGTGTGTGATTCAGTTTCAACAGTGTTGAAAAACTCTCCTGGCTGGGCTTGGTGGCTCAGCCTGTAATCCCAGCACTTTGGGAGGCCAAGGCAAGTGGATTACCTGAGACCAGCCTGGGCAACTTGGCGAGACCTCTACAATAAATCAAAAATTAGCTGGGCGTGGTAGCGTGCGCCTGTAGTTCTGGCTACTTGAAAGGCTGAGGCAGAAGGATCACTGGAGCCCAGTAGGTCAATGCTGGGGTGGCCGTGAGTGTGCCACTGCACTCTAACCTGGGCGATAAAGTGAGACTCCAACTCAAAAAGAAAAGAAAAGAAAAGAAAAACTCTCCTCAGATGCTTTTATAACTTGGCAGAACATGACCTAAGGCACAATCAAACTTATGCTTACCCCTAGGGAAAAATATACAACCTAAATGTGGCAGATAGCTCCCTAACTTATATGAGCAATTTAATACCCTACTAACTTTTGCCTAAATTCATCCTCATGATCAGTTTTATTTATAAAGGCATCTGCCTTAAGGCACTCTATTTCTAATGCATTTCCAATAAAATGAAATAAATAGAAATGTGAATTATGACATCTGTGCCATCTTTTGCTATGTTATGTTCTTTGGAGGAGGTGATATGATTTGAGTGGTGATATGTTTTGAAGGAGTCCCAAATATGGCACTGTGGCAAAAAAAACTTATTTTGAGCTGAAAGCATTTGAATTCCTGAAATCTCTTACCTGCCTAAAAAATGGAGCTTCCCAAAAAGAACTCAATCCTCATAAATCCCCTCCCTAAGAGCAACCAGGGAAAACTAACTCCTATCACCAGAGATAAGACAGCTCCACCCCACACTAAACAGACATAATCACAAAACTGTCACACCTCCCATCTATTTTCCTAAGGGCCCATTTATCTTTCCAAAAGGTCATTTGTTTTCCCCCAAGTGTCCTTTTCTCCCCTCCCCTTCCCCTATTAAAATGGTATATAAGTCCACATTCTAACCACCCTCTGAGTCACATTTTTATATGATTAAATCTGTACTTTCTGTTGTTATCTGTCTTTTGTCAATTCGATTTGCAGGCCCCTAAAAACTAAACCTAAGAGTGTAGAGTAAAAGTTTTCCTCCCCAACAATTTAAAACTATGAGACACAGTATATTATGAGTATGTATGAGAACGGTGCTAACTTTCTTATTAAATGAAGCCAACCAATTATATGACTAACACCGAACACTTCTTCTTGTCTTCCCTTTCCTCGCTTTTGTTAAAACATCCTCTTAAAATCTTTCTTATTTCTAACACTTAAGAGTAAGTTTTCAAGTGTTATCCTTATAAGTATAATTTAGTAGAAATAATTTATCTGAAAAAATCATAACATACAATATTTAAGAATTAGAAAAACTACTCACTTGTTGCCAGTTTATAAAAAGCTTTCAAGTACAATCAAGTGAAAATATTCTGCTGATTAAATAAAGCAAGTTGTTATTTCACCAACCGCTGAAAACTGGAAGCTTTCTGAAATATACAAAACTAAAACACACACGGTCACTTTGTGCAAAATAATGACATCTCCCCTCACCAGAGTTTATTGTTTTAAAACTGATACACTGATAACAAAAATAAAATGACAAACCAAGATAATTAATCCAACTTATCACAGAGATACACACTTTCTACCAAGGTATGAAAAATAAACCATAAGGCCAACCTCCTCTCTCTGGAGAAAACCCTATCTGCTCAGATGGTCCCAAGAGCTCCCCTTGGCATTTGGTTCTCTGAAGTTAACCTCAATTAGCTAACCTCCCATGGCTCAGAAAGCTCAGGGATGCTGCTGCCTGCAATTAAGACAGACTTTCCACTCAGCAGCCTTGGGTGCTGTGACACTGTCATCCTGCTGAGTAGAAAAGCAGCATGGGCCAAGCACTTAGGGCTTCACTGAAAAAATCACAATTGAGGTCTGTCCGTGTTGAGTTTCACCTCCAATCCCTGACTAGCTGTGTTAAAAGATACCCATTTCATTAAAATATATAGTAACTGTAAAAGTTTGTCAACAATCTGTGATTACCCCTTCTGCAGATTCAGCTGACCATGTCCCTGCTGGGACCATGTCCCTCGGAGGGTGGTTCTCCACCACCAAAACATTCAGATTTGACTGTCAGGTCACACACCACCGCCCCCACCCCCCACCCCCCAGCCTTGAGTCATACCACTGCATGTTGCACCAGCCACATCAAACTTCTGGCAGTAACCAGAACTTAAGGCCCTTTCTCACCTTCGTCTGCTTGGAACATCTTTCCTCCACTTTCAGAAGTACCTCTCTTCCTGCAAGACTCAGTTCAGATGTACCCTCCTCCAGGAAACAAATCATTTTTTCCACTGGGTGTATCCATAGCACATTTTCGTGGCTCCTGGTATTTATAAGTCTTCCTTCCAGCAAGACCGAGATCCCTTGAAAGCATGGATTTTGATGCCTCCAAGTATAATTCAACACTGTACTATTTTTAGACACAGAAGACAGTAGGCACACCATAAATGTCTAGTAAATGGATGAGTACAACACAACAAACGGACAAGGAACTAATGAATGAAATCTCCAGCTGTTGCCTGGAGATAGGGAAGGGTCTTCTGATTAAATCTCAGTAAATAAAGCCCTGGCTGACTCCCAAGGAAAACCCTGCTCCTCCCCTCCTTTCAGCTACTCACCAACTCCAAACATTCTTTTCACTCTGCCATCTTCAAATCCAATCCCTATTTTTAATTACAATATTTTACCACCACGTGCTCATGCTCCTGCTCCTTATTTCACAGCTGCTTATTTAATACATGCAACAACCTACTTGCATTTATTTCTATATAAAGAAGATGTAACAATTTTTACACTTTGCTTTTTGGGGGGCAGGAGGTGGACTAAATCATCTAATTTTTTTTCCCAGGTAAATTATGATCAAAGAGAGAAGATGAGGGAAGAATAGATGATCATTTATAGTCCAAGCAGTGCCTGAATTAAAAACTGTATAATACCATAATATTTCTCTACATTAATTGTCTCTCAGTTTCTGTTCTCAACAGCATGATGGCTTAACAGGTTTTGTAGTTGGATATGGTTGAACAAACCATAAAACTTACAAAGCTATTGTTGATAGGGCCCCTACTGTTGCCAGGTCGTGTGTCAAGATCTCCGCATATATTGTTTTCCTTCAAAAAATACTCCAAAGGATTGCATTTAGAAAAATGGAGGCTGACAAAGGTTAAATAACTTGCACCAAAGTCACTTTGTTAGTAAGATCTAGCACCTAGCTTTATACCCAGGTCTGTTCAAACTCCATACTTTCTGACTAGAACTTTAAACTCTAGACCTTACCTCATGAGATTCAATAATGATGCAAACAGAATTCCAAAGGCCTATGCTTTCATCTTCACTAACCCTATCAACGGTTACTAAAATATTATTTACCATTATTATATACTTTGTTAATCCCTGTTAGCCACCAAATCATTAAAGACCACACAGAAGTCCCCAGCAGAAATAAATCTAGCCTTGGAAAGTCCCCCTAAGTATTACAGCATCTGCTCCAGGCTCTGGATCCAAATGGGGCCAGACATTTTCGCTGAGACATTTTGGAGTACCAGCAATTCTCCAACATGCTTTTAAAACAAGAACCAGGAACTGGCAAGGCCATGGGGAAGAGGTACTTTGACCACAGCAATGTCAAACTGGTACAACCTTTCTATAGGGCAATCTGTCAGGATATATTAAAAGTCATAAAAATATGCACATCCTTGATATAGCAAGTGCACAGTAAGAATCTGTCCTTGTGCTATGGTTTGAATGTTTGTGTCCCTCCAAAATCCATGTTGAAACGTAATCCCCACTGCAACAGTATTAAGAGGGGGCTTTAGGATGTGATTAGGCCATGAGGGCTTTCATGAATGGTATTAGTGCCCTTATAAAAACACTTGAGGGATGGAGTTTGTCCCTTTTCTCTTTTCTGCCCTGTAAGGATGCTGTGAGAAAATGTTATCCACGGAGCAGGTCCTCACCAGACACGGAATCTCTTAGCACTGTGATCTTGAACTTCCTGGCCTCCAGAACTATGAGAAATAAACTTCTATTGTTTATAAAATACCCAGTCTGTAGTATTTTATTATAGCAGCAGAAAGGAATGAAGACAGAGAGTAAGTAACCGGATGAATGTTCAGGGATGTATGAATAAGAACCAAAAGGTAAACAATAGTGGAATGATCAAATTATCCACGGGTGCAGGCATATGATGCAATCATTCAAAATGATGATGTAAACTGGGCTCGGTGGCTCAGCCTGTAATCCCGCGCTTTGGGAGGCTGAGGTGAGCGGATTGCCTGAGCCCGTAGGTTCAAGACCCGCCTGGGCAACTTGGCGAGACCTCATCTCTACAATAAATTTAAAAAATTAGCCGGGTATGGTAGCGCACGCCTGTGATTCCAGCTACTTGGAAGGCTGAAGCGGAAGGATGGCAGGAGCCCAGCAGGTCGAGGCTGCAGTGGCTGGGAAAGCAAACTGCACTCCAGTCTGGGTGACAGAGTGAGACTCCAACTTAAAAAAAAAAAAAAAACCAAAATGATGATGTACGTGTATCTTTTCTGTTCTGCCACAATGTCCACAAAATTATAAAATAGATGATCCTCTTTTTGTAGAAACTATATATGTACTTTCAAGTCTGTAAGAAAAAAATGTTTAAGGCTGCAAGAATATATCACAATGTTAACAATGATGATCTCTAAGTGTCGCATTTCATGTTTAACCAAAAAGTCAAGGAAGAAACTTTTCCTTTTTTAGTATTTTTTTTTCCATAATGCTTACTTTATTATTGGTAAAATAATAAAATGACAGTATTTATAAATAAATAAATCCCTTAAAAATGCCAAAGAGAGCCAGGCTCGGTGGCTCTGCCTGTAATCCTGCACCTTTGGGAGGCTGAGGTGAGTGGAATGCCTGAGCCCGCGGGTTCAAGACCTCATCTCTACAATAAATCAAAAACTCAGCTGGGCGTGGTAGTGCGCGCCTGTAGCTCCAGCTACTCGGAAGGCTGAGGCGGAAGGATCGCCGGAGCCTGGCAGGTCGAGGCTGCTGTGGCCGGGAGCGGCCACTGCACTCCAGTCTGGGTGACAGAGTGAGTCTCCAACTCAAAAAAAAAAAAAAAAGGCCAAAGAGTTGCTAGCCAAAATCATTCAGGACAGAATGTTTTTCACATAAAACAAAAAATCTCCCTTCTGATACCTTCAAGTTCTTTAAATTATTCATAGCTAAAAGCCTGAAGTAAATTCATAGGAAGATTAAGCAGCAAGAGATTTCCCAATTTTATCTTCTGTTTTCAACTCTCCATGGGATGAAATATATTCTTGGAAATTACAGGAAAACTGCCTTTGAAGGTTTAGTTTCTAGAATGTAAGCCAGGTTCTGTAATAAGTAAAGAATGAGAAAAAGACTAGACTGTGCATAACACATCACGAGCAGGGCCCAGAAGAGTTCCTCACTATAAATACTGGGAGTGCCAAAAAAATGTACACACATTTTTTTTTTTTTTTTTGAGTTGGCGTCTCACTGTCGCCCAGGCTGGAGTACAGTGGCCGCTCCCGGCCACCGCAGCCTCGACCTGCTGGGCTCCGGCAATCCTTCCGCCTCAGCCTTCCAAGTAGCTAGAACTACAGGCGCACGCTACCATGCCCAGCTAATTTTTTTAATTTATTGTAGAGAAGAGGTCTCACCTGCCCAGGCAGGACTCGAACCCGCGGGCTCAGGCAATCCACTCACCTCAGCCTCCCAAAGGCACGGGATTACAGGCTGAGCCACCGAGCCCGGCTTGTATATACATTTTAAACGATGTTATCTATGTATTACTTTTCAAAGATGAACTGAATTATGGGAACAATGTGTAACTGCAGAAGTCAAACATGATTTGTATTCACCTTTTGTTATCAGTATATATTGCATGTTGCAATTTTAATACAGTTTTTTTCCTTTCTTAAAATGTGTATACTTTTTTTGGCACCCTCTGTACAAAGTGCAAAGAATCTGACATATGAGGCAATATTTTCTACCAATCCCCATTACCAAGGTGAATTTCAAAAACAACATTTAAAAGTAACAAATATTCTTAAAGACCTCGCAAAAATGATTTCTAGATAAGACAAGAAAATGTCTTCCAAGATCATAAAAGCTCTGTACATATTAGACCCTCAAGACCTTGACTTGAAAACAGCAGGCAAACACTTTTCATTTTCTTTCTAAAGGATTTAGGTAACTTAAATGTAGTAGGAATTAAAGTAAACATCTAAAAAGAAACAATGTAAAGTATACTACCAACCTGAGGTTGTAAAAAGTGTATTTAGTGGCCTAAATACGCAGCAAAATACAAATCTTGTTCATAGGAAACAGGTGGTACTCAAAAAAGAAAAAAAAAAAAAAACCCTGTGAACAGATATATGGAATTCACAGCACATTTTCCCATCAAAAGATAACTCTAATAGTGGCTAACTCCCAGTCTGGTCCATAAAGCCTATTTGATTGTTAGTGAGAAACATTTACCCCACTCCTGTGTTTTATATGAATGGAACTGGTGGTCTAAGTGAAGACATCTATAATACTAGGAGGGATAAGAATGGCTCTCCTTCCACTCAGACTGAAGCCTCTCAGCACAGTCTCCACAGAGGTTCTCCAGCTGAAGAGGTGCCACCTCCAAGGTTGTACCCTCTTCCTTGGGTAGCCTAAGTCCAAATGACCCGTCAATGGGTCAATGAATAGGGGAGAAGGCCTTGGCCCTATGCCTTAACATGAGATGACACTGAAAGGCCATTCCAGCATCAGAGCTCACTGGAGGATCAGCAGGGGTTTCTTTTACAGCTGCATCACAGTTCAACTCCTAACTCTGCCCAACCTCTCACTCCTCCACTAGGAATGATGCCAAGAGCACTCCTCAGTAAACCTCCAGCACGAAAATCTGTCTGAGAGATTATTTTTAGGATCCAAGACAAATAGCTAACACTTTGCTCGTATTATAAGTCAGGCACTGTTCTAGTATGTATATTTTATATATATTTCATATGGATATATAAATATCTTACTACATATGTATAGCTAGGTACTATAATGTCATTTTAAATAAGCAGAAACTAAGACTGCTTCTGTAAAGTTAAATGATTTGCCCAAGATCGTTGGCAAGTAGTTTGAGGAGCCAGGATCTGAATCTAGATCTACCAGATGCAAAGCCAATTGCTATGTAAACTGACTTTAACTGCTACAAAGAGTTGTTAAAAAAATTAAGGCAAATTCGACAGCCCAGTTTCTGGTGGCAGCCA